ATCGTGAGCAGTGTGAACGATCGAGACCAGTCGAACGCGGTCGAGAATCCCGGAATAGTCAAAGGACTCGCAACGATGCTCCCTGGACGACATGTCGGCCGCGTTTTTCTCGCTACCACCGCCTATCGAACGGGTTCGAACAGCTATTCAGGGGGTCGGTGTGTTGGTCGAGGAAAAGAAAGAGACCCGGTAACGGGATAAACGAGCGATCCAGCCACCGTACAGCACATTCCGATACGTAACGGAGAAAAGTGTGTTGTGTATATATCGCGGCCTGACGCGTACGCAACGAACGCAACGCGGGTATAAAAAATTTCCTGGAAACGATCGGGCCGAACGTGCATATAAAATTCGAGTAATTTCAACTCACGGGGCCGGCTCTGTCTATTCGCGGAACCGACGCTTCGTGGAAGCAGTAAAATCCTTGCATCTCTCGCCCGGCGAGATGCGTTTGCGTACGGACTCTTCGATCTTTCACTTGTACGCGTGCTTTTTCTGGGGTGAACGGGAACAGATTCGAGGACCAGGTGAGGAGAGCTTCTGGATTCATTTCCTTGGGGGTTTTTTCGGGACTTTTGTGTCACGAATCTTGCCAATATTTTTAATCACCACCTTGTCTCGTTTCTATCAGTTTTCTGTAATTTGGATACAAGAAGTATCCTTTTTCGTGAATTTCGGTCAACTTTATTCTCGTCCCTCGAATTGCATAAGAATCGAAGAGAACGAACTGGTAGACGGTCTACTACCTACCGAAAAACTTCACCTCCTACCCTCTACCATCTGGCAGCGCCATTTCCTGCTCGGAGAGTGCCTCCTGTAATCATTATTATTCGCGGCCAAATAGCCGGTGGCTCTCTCCTTCCCGGCACTGATTGGTCTCCCTATCTCGAAAATACCAATTCTCCGGAGCCATACCGGCGCATTAAAGCTCGTTCACCGCGCGTTCGGGGTTAACCATCCTCGCGTTCGCATTGTTCAATGGTCAACTGGAGATTTCACGAAATTCCTCAATCAGCATCACGGGTCATTAAGTCCAATTCTTGAACCTGACCACGATATTCGACGGAACCATTCGAATGTTCACCATCGAGGGAACATCTCGATTCACTTGCAACTGCGGGTCCTGGAACCCTTTCTGCAGAGGAACGAAGGACGACAGAAGGAAGCGAGGCGGGCGAAAAAAATTCAGAGAATACTGTAATAAGTGAAATTTCGCGAGAAACGCGCTGTGCCGCTAATTCGTTATCTCAGACACATAATTTTCATCTATCGACATTTAATATCGCACTGTCGACCCAGTCAAACTCATTCCGTGAAAAAATTCGATTCTCTTCCTCAATTTCTCATATCTCCACCCGTTACTTCCTACCAAACCCCCGCAAAAAATTCCCGCATCCACCACCACTACTACCCAAATTAAACATCAACCCCCAAAACCTCATCCCTCGAAAATCCAGGAAAGAGTAAGGAACTCCGACGCGAAATTAAAATGTCAAGCGAGATTCCAGGCGTTTCACGCGTCTCACGCCCGCATGCAACTTCCGCCAATTACCGCGCGGGGGAAGCAACGCGAAGCAGAAGAGGAAGCAGCAGTGGGGTGGGCGCGGTGGACGTGGTCGCGGCGAATGCACGGCGAATGCAAAGCACCGGCAAGGTCGCGATTCCGAATGAACCGAGAGAGTTGCCGGTTTGCCCCGTCACCTTCGCAGGTAGTCGAAAGCATTGGACGAAGAGGACGGAACCGGGGGGAAGGAGAGAACGAGACGAGCAGGAAGGCGGCCAGCCACCGAGTCGCGAGAGCGAAGGAGAAAGCCAGACGCAGAGGAGGAGAGTAGAGGCCCCGGGCGAGGTCACCCACCGCCCCCGCCGCCCCTCACTCCCCCGCACACCCTGATTACCCGCAGCCGGGGGCGGGACACACTGTAATGAGCATCGAAGAGGTGCTCAACTTCGACTCACGCCGCTTTTCCACCGGAGAATTCGAGGAAATGGGACGGGACGGGTCGGCGGAGGGACTTCCGTGGGTTTGCTGGAGCCGCTTCGTTCCTTCGGATGGTCATTGATAGGCAGAAGGTGAATGGAAGTGAAGTTTAAGCTGGTACGTGGCCCGTTACCGGTGTAATTGGGAAAAAAATCTGCGCGTTCCGGGGTACTGTGCAATACACTTCGTGTTAAGAGATATCGCATCGGTTATTAGGGAAGGTAGATTTTAAACTAGCTGCTGATACTGCGTCATAAAAAATTACATCTTCCTATCTCCTAGTGCACCTAGAGACCTACGAATTTCTAATAAATTTGCGTTAACAAAAATCAGTGACACGCTAGGATCTGAAATTGAACAAATAGAAGTAATTGAAAACGTTGAAATAAAATCGACAAATTTCGAAGCTTGCGAAATTCTTAAGCACCCTGTAAAATTCGCGTAAACCCGGTATACACACGCTAAATAGCTGTAACGACAGTCGGAAGTACGGTGATCGGAAAGACGGATCACCGGTAACGCGACCCCGATTCTTTAGGTACCCGCTGAGAAGGTCGCGGAGGAGCGTGAAGGAAGGACGCGTAAGAGGGGACAGGCTGAATACGAGAGTAGCCTGGCCTGCTGTCGTCGAAGACACCCGGATGATCGAGCGATGTTATTTTAAGTTTTCCGTGGGGGCTCTCCCATCTTGTCCTAATCGGCTGTCAGCCACCCCCGTGTTCTGGGGTCGCAGGCCACCCCCAGGACACGAGGACGTGCCGACGCTTACCTCGTACATGTGTTGCTACGTGACAGAGAGAGGAAGAACCGACGTCGAAGCAACAGAAGGAAAAAAGAGAGAGAAATCCTGACCCCCCCGCGGACAGAGATTCGCCCCTTTTGTACGAGGAGATTCGCGCGTAGGAATCATACCCCTCGAGGGGTCGGATTCAAAACGTTTTACACTCTCATAACCGGGACCTGTTGATTCTACCGCGTTGAAAATCACCACGCCACCCTTCTCTGCACTCGAAAAATCTTTCACCACGTGCCTCGTCATCGTGTGATTGACTCGAGAGAGCAAGCTTGCCTCTCTCGCATCACCTCGGCTATATATACGAGGACCCTTGATGACCTCGAAACGACGTTTTACTGGCTGATAAATTTCGCCCCTCCCTCCCTTCCTTCTTTTTGAACCTCTTAATGTCTTTTTACCGAGGCGAACTCTCTCGTCCGGTTGGGGAGATTTCATAAACGCGTTTAATCGAGCCTGCAGAAAGAGGAGAGATCCAGGCAAAATGGATATCACCGGTGTCGACGATTATACTTTTTTAATAGGCGTTCGCGAAAATTGGATATCAACGTTGCTGTAACGGCTTGCGCGAAATTTGTTACATTAGCATCGCGTACCCCTTCTCCTCTCTCCTAACAGTTTACGGTCTCGTGAGATAAGGCACGAAGTAAAACCCCGGTGTCGACCTATAAATATTCCGCAGGTTGAAACCCAGCCGGAATAAAGGGCATAATAAAAATTATCGCCGCGAGCGTTGGTGATACAGAAAGAAGGAGAAGAAGAAGGAGGCGGTGGTGGTGGTGGTGGAGGAGGGTTGCTGGCTGCTGAAATTCCAGCAGAGTCCTCGAACTCGGAATAGACCGTGAAGATGAAGTTGCTCCAGGAAAGTTCGGATGACCTCGCAAAGGGTCCTGCGGCTCGTTTGATGGACCTCTCCCCACTTTTTCACCTTCCTTCTCGCTCTCCCTTTCTCTTACTCTTCTTCTCAGCACCGTGCATTTCCACCGGATACCCGTTTACACCGAGTCGAGTTTGGTGGCACATATTATATACCTGCGGAAAGGAGGCAGAATGGGACGAAACCGAGGGAGGAGATGAAAGAAGACGAAGAAGACGAAGAAGAAAAGAGAGACGGATTTCTCGGAGGCAGCGTGCTTATTGCGTGATATTAGCCACGGTGGCTGCCGGGGTAATCATAATCTCGAAAGAGGGACAAAACACAGGCCCCGAATCGCACAACGCTGAATTTTACGACTTCTGGCATAGGAGGACAGCGCGACCGGATGCAACGCGACTTTTTACCGCCCTATAACGTCCACGGTCTTGATATCAACAAGAAGGTGCCGTGCCTCTCGGAAACCAACACCCCGAACCGACCTAACTCCGGATGATGTCGGTCTCTTGCATCGAATTGGATCGGGAACTCGAATTTTTCTCAAACTTAACTGCGGAGGAATGAATCCGTTTCTATCTTGGGCACAGAACAACGATACACCTTTTTTTAAAGGGAGATTCCTAGGTAAAGGGTTAAGACGAATTAACTCGTCGTTGATACACGAATGATTAGAACACGATAGTTTAATCACCGAGAGATTATTTATCTTTAATACCTGCAACGAAATTACATTATATTCTTCATTATATTCTAAAAATTTTGCATTTCTACCGAAGAAATAAGTAAAATTGAATAAAATTCAAGCCTTCTTCGATCTCGAAAAATTAGCAACGTTACTAGCTACCGACAAAGGTTACAATAATCAAAATATCAAACAACGACTCGCGTTCGCCATTTTTCGAATCGCGGCAGGAACCGCGAATCAAGCGGATCGATTCGAGGCGGCCGATTGGCGGTCTGAAAAGCGAGAGGACGTGAAATAAATCACCGTCCGGTCGCGCTTTCTATCTTTGAAACGGTCGTTCCGGGAATCCGATCTAATTTACGCGTTTGCATAAAGCCGCGGCCGCGGTTTCCAGGTAATAAAGAGAAAAAGGGAAAACGGCTGGTCGGGTGGGAGGAGGCTGGAGGCGTTACGTTGCGTTTCGCAATCGTCGTATGAAACCACTGTATTTCTGCCCGGGTTCAATGGAAAACCAAAGTAGAAAGGAGGATCTTCTCGTTTTTTCTCCGCGGAAGATACCTTGTAAAATCAGTTCCGCGATATCGTTTTTCATTTCTTTTCCAACCTCGTGCAACCGTACTTCTGTTGCAATCTTCCATAGGTTAAGAGATCCGTGAGAGTGACTCACCGTAAGGTCGATCCGCGACTGGCTGCTCGCACAGGTCTGCAACATAGGAAAAGAGAGACGAAAGTTAGTTAAAACGAACAACATTTCACGTAAACGCTAAATTCTTCTTTCAGCTATTCTTAGCAGTTAAACGCGAAATTCTTCGAGAGTGATTCTCAAAAGAGAATATCTCGAGTTCCATTTACCTTTCGTTCCGTTAAAGGATCTTTATTCGCATTCTTCGCCTTCGAGCTATCATTAACCAGTCATTCCGATTGTTTATTCACGACAATTTGAAAACGAGTGATCCCCCCCTCTCTCTCTCTCTCTCTCTCCCCCCTTACCTGTGTAATAACTCGACTGTAATCGGTGTACAAGATCGAAACGACACTCGAGGCCATTATCTTTTTCAATTTGCATACACGCGCGTATATACATATATGTGTACGTGCACTCGCGACGACGATCATTCGTTTCGAGCATCGTCCACGCTGCGCTAATAAAGGCCTTCGAACGTTTTTCCACTCCCCACCTCGTCCTCCTCTGTCCTCAACGTTAAGTAATTTCGAACGGGTTGCAAGATTGCTCGCAATTTGCGCTTTAACGATTGCACGCCGGAGGATTTCATATCGATTACGCTGTAATATCTTCATTCGCCGCGTCGGTGTAATGGAACATAGATAGAATCTTATCGACCACTTAGATTGGATAGAAATTTTCTGAATTTCTACAAGCCTTAGGTATCTCTTCAAATTTATCCTTTTCTTCTTCCTTCTCCTCCCAGCTGCAATGTAAAATAGTCGGGATCGGAGAGGGAAGAGAGTAACAACGTTCGTGAAATATTCGACGATCTCGTGGAATCTGGGCAGGTTGATCTAATTGCGAATTCTCCGTGGGGCAAGGGAACTGCGTAGAAAAAGAACAAGACGAGTTTTAAGGAGAGGTATGTGTTCCTATGGGACGAGGCAGATGGTAGATTGGTGAGATGTCTCACTCAAGGCGATCGTGTACAGGGGTCTAATAGAAGCCGCTAGGTAGGTCATCGGATGTCATAAACGCTCGACGAAGTTTCTTCGGTGGTGCAGCGCGTGTTAATGGCCTCATTAGATATCGCGGCCCAGTGACGTATACGAGCTGTCGTGGACCACCGACCTAAACTTGTAGCAGTCGCGAAGGAATAAGAATCGCGCAGCGGAGGCTTGTTTGTTTCAATGAAAAATTATGTGACAGTACTTGAGAACAGAATGCGTAAAAGCAGACAAGCGTTGGCGACAATATATTTCGAGAAATAACGCTTTTCTTCCGGAGTACGCCATCGTGATCGAAGGAACGTCGAAAGGTGGAAGATTGTAAAAATTGATTTCCCTCAAGAATTCTCGGTTGAATGTTAGAATTGTCGTGAAGCGACACGGACAGGGTCGTCCGGCAGGCAGCGCGATCAAAAGTACAGATTAGATTCGACAGGACAAAACATTCTGCATCTGGTATTCCGTCGGACCTGTCGTCGACGGCGCGACGGCATCGACATCGACAAAAGCGATGCAGATGATGTTCACTGTGCTTTCTAAACACCGAACACTAAACAACAATACTTAACCCTTTCGTCGCTGTTGGCGCCTACAGGCGCTTTGAAAATTTACGCACACGCCACTGTGCATTTCTAGCCTAATTATTGATATTGCACGTCTACCATCTGTCGCGTGCGTCACGTGCTAAAATCTGCCGTAACGAAAGGGTAAAAATGAGCAGCTATCGTCGTAACAACTCTGATCGAAAAATGAAGAGTTCGTCGTCTCGACCACCTAGCAGCTAAAAAAAAAACGAAACAAAAAGTAACGCGACATTTCATTTGGCTGGCTAGTTATCGCGCCGCCAGCAACGTTGTATTCTAATATTTCCCGCGAACCGCGGCTCGGTGCGCCATCACGAATTCTAATTCAGTCGCCGGTCATCCTGGGCCCTGGAGGTGCCAACGGGGTCGCACGCGATAGTCGATAAATATTAAACGACTTTCCACCTGCCGCACCGCGGCGACTTGCTTCGCCTCTTTCGACAGCAGCAACGCGCCACGAGGGAGGACGAGTCGAGGTGGAGAAGCGAGAGGGGAGAGGACTTCCGAGAGGGAGATCACTGAATGTTAATTAGCGAGGCGTGACAAGTGTTAAGCAATCCATCCATCTAGCTGCGTGCAAAGAGGGAGGAGCCTGGCTAACGCTCGGTAATTAACGCGACACACACACATACACCACGCACCATCGAACCAGCTCATCCGTCTCTCTCTGCATCATCGTCCTCCTCCTCCTCCTCTTCTTCTTCTTCATCGTTTCCCCTTCCTTCGATTCACCGGCAATTAGCCGTCGATTTAGCTGTTAACCCCAGACTGAAAAGTGAAACGGAATTTCGTCCGTCCCCTAACACGACGGCGAGTCCCCGGAAGTCGTGGTAGAACTCGCTTTCGCGGGACGTAACTGTATTTTCGAGCGATCCATCACCGGCTGGCGTCTCGTAGTGTTTGAAAACGCTCCAACCTGAGCATCATAACTCCCCACCACCTTTTTGATACCACTTACTTTCCCATTCAACTCCACGGATTGCGTAAAGATCACGAACACGAGTATCGTTATGATCTCTGTCACGTCCCTGCAGGACGATTCTTCGCGAAAAACTAAAACGAAAATGTGGAACAAGGTTTTCTCCATTTACAGGACTTTTGCTCGTGTTTTCGTTTATAAACACTGGCGAGCGGTGACTTGCTCCCTGTCGTTGCCCCACGAATTTTCAAAGCTGCTTTTCTCGAAAACGAAGCCTCGTTTGCGAAAACTTTATTCTTCACTTTCGACTCATTTTTTCACGCAGAACCATCCACTGATAATAGAGCAAGCATGAACGAGGAAATTTGTAATCGAGAGAGGTTATCGCGCCGATAATTACCGAAAAGAAACATGGAGCGTTTACCCGATCGAACCGATTAGCCTAACAAACGCAACGACAGCCGTTTCTCGCGATGATGTACGATACCCTCGATTCAATATATCTCCCTTCCTCTTCCTTGTTCGTACAGATTTACCTAAAGGGTAACGGGAAGAAAGGAGAAAAGAGACGCGGCTCCGGTACGTGTCAAAAGCTAGATTCAAATCCTGTCGAAGGCTCGAATGCCGGACGACGGGCGGTCGCCTCGTCGGATACGCGCGTTCTCGAACCCGTCCCAACGATAGATGTATCAGTGTAATTAACAACAAACAATGGCCGTGGGACGCGCGCGCTCGATATCGTATATTAATCGATTAGCCAGCTCTCGAGTTCGAGCCCCGGAGATATGCGCCGGGACCGGTTGTTAATCATCGGAGCGCGGGTGCGTTTGTACTCTTCGAGCCTTCTTTTTCATCATCGAGCCGTAAGTCGAACAGAGATAGAGGAGGCGAGATAGGAG